TGGCACCTATCTTTCCGTCATGTCCCCCCTCACCCACTGTCTTTTCAATCCACCCCGTCTGCCTCCAAGTGCAGCATCGCCTTGGCAATCAGCTTCACCCACCGCATCCTCCTCAGCTGCGCCTCCGCCGCACCGAGGTCTGCACAGAAAATCTCGAACTCCGTCCGCTGTAGCCCGCCCTGCTGCTCCACCCGGGACTGTGGAAAGGACTTCCGGCGCTCCAGGTACTCCCCCACCGCCCGCGGCATGCTCAGCCCCATGGAGCTGCCCTCCGAGCTGCAGTCAGCCTCGGAGGCGGACTCATGAGAAGAAACGCCCCAAGAGTTCATCTTCAAACTCTTCACCAACATCACTGCCCTGCAAATCATCTTCAGCTTCTTGTTCTCTGCTGCCCTCCGGACCCGTGCCCGCCAGGCCCGCTTGCGCCGCGCGCGCCGTGCGGGCTTGGTGATGCGTGCAGCTTGGGCGACTTCAGCTTGAGCCAGGCGAGTGGCTGGCAGGAGCTCGCGAAGCCACTCCAAAAATCCCAAAGGATACTCTTGGCACTGATCCTGCACAAGAAAAACTTCCCCAAGCCGTGTCGGAATCATCTGCTTGGTCCCCATCCTGTCCAGGAGGTCATTGGTTGCACTCGCCATCTGGGCCACGGGGAAATCCGGCAAGTTCACACCAAAGATGGAATATCTTAGCGACGACAGATCCAAAGCATCGCACTGCTCGAGTAACTCCTCCAGAAAGTCACCACATGCACTGTCCAAACAGAAAACCACCATATCCTCTGCCTCCAAGGCAGGAACGTGGAAGCAGTCCACGGAACCACGACGGACCGGGTAGCCAAGGTAGCTCAACTTCTGTTCAATCATGTCAGCCCAGTCATTCGCCAGGCCTTGTGCATCTGAAGAAAGAACTGTCACTGGCTGCAACTGAAGGCCCTTGCTGCTTTTGATCTCATTGACTTTCATCCTGGCCAACTTCGATCAGTTCTGGGGCACCAGAAAACCCATCACTGGACGTTCGAGCCCAATGGCATTCATCCCAACCCTTCTCAGTGATGAACAAACCTCGTTCGGCCTTCGGACCGGGTGAACGGAGGAACGGAGGGGCCGTTGGTTTCCAGCCCCTTCCCAGGGAGCTTAGTGAGGGATGGCACTCCTTTGAAAGACCTTTTGTTACAGTAGTCCTTCCAGGATTCTGAGGTGTCAGGTCAAACGCGTCCCAACCATTATCTCACGCAGCTTCACTGCATTTCTCTCTCCTCGTTTGCACCGGACCCTTTGGAGATTTATACAGTACATGGATACAACAACTATGCTCCAACAGGCACAGGTGTGCCTCCCCAAGTTCATCAGCACCGCTCCGCGAAAAATGGATGATGGCTTCACGCTGGCCAAGGTGGTCCGCTTTTGGTCGCGCCAAGGTCCATCAGAAATCAAGCGCACGCAAAAAAACATGCATGGGTTTGGCCCAACGAAAGGCAGCCAAGCAGAATATGACACCATGACAGGCGCCTCTTGCACCTTGGAAGTGGTCCATCTGCACCACCTACGAACTACGAAACCGAAGCCCGCTCCTCTGGCCTTCCCGCTCCCCTTCCACCCCCTTCCTCGCACGCGCGCACGCGGTCTCGGTCCGAGGCCACTTTCAGCTCGAAGCCCGGCGCCGCCGGCGCCGGTGGCGTGGACCGCGCGGATCCTCGGTGGAAGAGCGACTGCCTTGGGGATTTGGGGGGGGAGGATCCCAGTGGTTTCGAAGTGGAAAAAAAGATTTTTTACCCCCGAGCCGAGCACCCTGGATTCCCTTTCGAAAGTGGAATGGCCTTGAAAAAGGTCACGGCGATCGCCAGGCCAAAGACTGGGCAAAATCAGTAACTTTCTCATAGCAAAATCGACGTCTGTCGGGTGATGGGAACATCTCCAAGTTCACAGCTCCTCTCTCAAGCTCACAGCTCACCCAAATCATCCGTGGGCGCATGTCGGTTGTTGATTCTGTCGTCAGGCAGAGTCAAATTCGAGCATGTCAGGCAGGCACGGAGCAAAGACACTGGCGGGGGCCGGAGGTGGAGTTCGCCACCTTCTAGCTTGGTCTTTCGGACCATGGTCCAATCCGACACTGTGCATACGAAACGTGTGTCTCGGCCCCCGGTGATGCAGGGGCAGGCCAGGTTTTGTGCTCTTAGCAATCCGAAAGGCCCACTTCCCGCAGACCCTGCTGGACCGAAGCCCCACACCACCGTGAGCCGCGGTGGGACTCCGCGGCGGTGAGCCCAAGAGCCGTGGAGCCGTGGAGTGCTTGGGACGGTGGAAAAGGGACGGAACCAAGCGGTCATCCCGCGCAGAATCCCCCTAGAGACCCCTATATATCTGGTCTTGGCGCCTGGCCACGGCTCCGATGCTTAAAACCCTGCGACCACGATATCTGATGTTTGACCATGTTTGACCACCATCCTCGGATTCTCGGGCACGGAATTTGGAGCCGGGGTCTGCACGAACCGCCCATTGCAGCCGAAGGGGCTTCTGGGATCTGCCAGAATCGGTTGGACTTGCGGCTGACCGATCGCAGTATAACCTCGGTCGACCGCCATCGACCTCCTCTTCCTCCGAACCTTCGGTCTGCTCTACTAACAAGGTTCGCTAGTAGAAACAAGTGCCACGCTAGTAGTAACAGGTGCCTTACTAGTAGTAACAAGAAGCTATTAGGAACAAGACCTGCCCAGCCTTCTCTGACTCTCCGTGCTGCGCCAGGCCGCGGGCGAGGCTCGCCCGAGTCTTCTCCGGGCGCCCGGGCTGGTGTGGATGCCGCCACCAATGGACGCCACCCATGGCCTGGGGGGTGACGGGGTCAAGGCGGACGGAAGGTGACTGAGGTCATACAAACCATGGGAGATGTCTGAGATAACCTAGCAAGTCCTTTCTGAAGATGTTGGATCAGCTTGGGCGCTTGATTAAAGGACCCAAAGGATCCTAAAGGCATCATCGGTGGCCTTCCTCACAGAATCCCAAACTCACTGACAGCATGTGGCAGCCAAGGTCTGAACAAGAGCCATGCCATATCAGCTTGGGACCGCGCGTGTCTCCCATTTCACGGCCTGATGAGGTCCACGTCTTTGTCCACTCCAAGAGGTCCGCGTCGTCCGGCACTTCAACAACGAAGACGGAAGAAAGGTGAGGCGACCGGGGAACGGGGCTGGGTGACCGGCCTTGTTCCCGTGACGTGTTCAATCATCAGTTGGTGCAAAAAAAGACATCTTCTTATGGCCTCCGATCCCACCCACAGCCAAACTGCCCCCCCCGGCTCCTGCCCACTTAGCAGTGGTGGCAGCCGCACTGCTGGGTCTTCTGGCTTTCGCCCTACCGAACGGATCTCACAGGGCAAGCGCCGCTGATCTCTCGGTGGTCGGACGTAGGCTTCACAGGCTTAAGCTATACAGCACTGTGGCAAGAGCTATTCTTCAATTGATCAAAGGCCCACATTGTCAGATTGCCCCCCACACCAACCACTTCTCAATGGAATTTCCCGCTACCAACTCCTAAAGCCTCAACTTGAACCGTCCACCATATGCCAGCCATCCTGTTTAGCCGCAGCATTCTGCACAGGTCCAAGTGTGCGGCTGGACCTCTCGACACAGCGTGCGACGCATCGCACCGCACCTCTTGCCATTGGGCGCCCCCTTGGAACCACTACGGCCGGCCGCCGACCTGCGCGTACGGTGCGCGGCGGTGCGCGGTCAGTCCGAGCGACAGAGGCGGTGCGCCGTAGAGCGCCAACGCCATGCCGTGCGAAGCCGTGGGGATGTTTCACCAGGATCTAGTAGTAACAAAGAAGCTACTAGGAACAAGTGCCTTACTAGTAGTAACAAGTGCCACGCTACTAGTCACCAACGGCGCCACAGGCCTGGTTGCGAAGGAGCAAGAAGCTACGAACGGTGGAGGCCATCGCTATTAGGGTGGAGGCCATTACTACTAGGAACAAGAAGCTACTAGTGGGCATTCTTTCTTTTGAGTTCTTCACCACGGGATGAAGATGTCCACCTACAAAGCCAACTCCCACCCATTCCTTGGACGAATGACCTGGTTCCCCTCCACCCAGACCGCGTCTGCCTTGGGCGGGAGCGGCCCGCATCGCCGGGCATCCTGTCATACCGAGCGCCGGATGAAAACGGCGGCCTGTCTCTTCGCGGCCTGTCTCTTGGCACACCAAACGAGGAAGTACCAAAGGGTCGTCTTCGTGCCTCTCCAACCTGCCTGACTCTAAACCGGTCTCAATCGTCTTCGTCCGTTCCTCGCATTTGACGTTGGATGGGGCTGAAGAGGGAGTGAGGAGGCTACCAGCTGATGGCAAGCTGATTGACAACAGGTTGACGTGACCTGCAAACTTAGACCTATTGACAGCAGTTGCAGCGCAGTTGCAGCACGTCAAAAGGCCTCACATCACATCTCCCGAATCGTTCCGAAGCAAGTTCACACCCGGTCGAACTGTCAGGCCCCACGTCACACCTAGCCACCTCCCGGCCACCTGATGGGCGCGCGGCGCGTCTTCGCGGGCCGCAGTGCTCTTCACCGCGGTGCCCGCCCGCGCGGAGCCGCGCTCCGCGGCCGCTTTCCACTGGAGCCGCACAGTGGCCGCCGAGAAAAACGGTGGTGAAAAGCTGAACGTTCCGATGAATCCAGGGTGAAAAAGCCAAGGAACTGGCGATCTGCGAGGGACATTCATCTCACGAGGGTTTGAACTGGCGAAGCGGTGTTGAAACTGCTGCATGAACTTCCCTCTCCCGTCCATAGAAAGAACCCTCTGTCCCCACCACCCTTGTGGGTGGTTCAGGCACGAGGTTACTGAAAACTAACATAGATTGTGGAAAACCACTGGCTTGTAGAGGACAACAGCCTTTGAGGGTGCCATTCTCCAGAGTCCATGAGTTTAGAAATCAGTTCACCTCCCAAGGTTTGCCTACTTCCAGTTGAGGAGCCTGAATCCCAAGCACGACCGGCCCAAACCCGCCGTCTTTTGCGCACCACTTGCAGCATCACATGGACCGGTCGAGCCATGGCCGAGAGCGATGCCGCTACGGGCCGCTCGCGACTTGGCGCCAGCTAGTCGATCCGCTGATCCTCCTAACCCGTGAAGTGTCAGTTCTTCTTCAACTCATACCATGTCTGATCCTTCTTCTTCTTCACCGTCACTGTCACCTGTCGAGCACTGTCACTCAAGGAAAGGAAAAGGTATATATAAAAGAATGCTATGATATGTGTAGGGCCCCACCAGATCCCATCAGCACGATGGAATTCACACCCCAAAGAACTCACAAAAAGTGGTCGTCCGTGTGTCCGTGCGGAGGGTAGCGCCGCGAAGCAGAGGTCCACACCTTGGACTTCTCCAGGTTGGAGCGGTGCGTGCAGGCCTCCGGCCTCCCCAGCTGGAGCGCAGGTTTTTTTGGCAGAGGAGTTGAAGTTTGGGTGGCCAAGAGTTGGTCCCCCAAAAAAGAATGATTAATGAAAAAGAACGCTGCTGGTGGGTGGGCGAGATGGGTTTTTTCTCATGAGGAACGCTGAACGCTCAAGAGCAGTTTCACCGACTTTGGCTCATCCTACACCGACCGCGTGTCATAGCGGCCTGATCAAATGGCTGGCAGATCCATCTATCCAAGGGCCAGGTCCATCACAAGAATATGCTTTCCGGACATGATGGGTCAAAACCTCAACCTTCAGGGGTAGCAAGAAGTGACTAGTCACAAGGGCAAGAAGCTACTAGTAACAAGAAGCTACGAGCTAGTAGCTTCTTGGGCATCACGGGATTGGAGAAAAAGGCTCGGAGCGACGGGGTTCTGTGGTTCGGGCACGATCTCGGCATACAACCGGTCCATCTTGCAGGTGTACGTGGCCTCGGCGTTCGACGAAAGCGAGAGAACCTGCGCCACGGCCGGGGAGTTCATTGACCGATCCATGAAGATCTGTGAGGACCCGCATGCACTTAGGAAGATACCGTACCCCACCCACCCAAGACCCAAGAAGACCATCTTCCCACCTGCGAGGTGGCAGATGGGTTGGATTTTTGCAGGTGAAGACTCAAGAAGGATCCATCTTAGGGTGTGCAGGTTAAAAGTTCTAATACTGGATTCTCATCACTAGACCTGCTCAGTAGCTTTCTTTCATCTGTAATTCACCGTGTTTGACCTCGATGAGCGCCGGGCAGAGGCAGACGCCACCTGCCAGTTTGCAGAAAATGAACGCAAAAAAGACCATGCATCATGCATCTGACAGGCCTAAAGCCCTTCAGGCACACTGCTGCCACCCTTCCCCCAGAAAAATAGCGTGATCACCCGCGACCCATTTTTCACAGCGTGGCTCCCAAAAAACAAAGTTTGTCACTGAAAAATGCAAATGCTGCAAAGTACTTCTCCAAGACGAGGTTGAGTGATGTTGAATGGACCTTCCCAAAACCTGACGGTTCATCCGAAGTCGACTTGATGCAAACCACTCTGATGACCGGCCTGTAGATGAAAGCCTTGGACTTGAAAGTCACACGACACTTGAGCATCTTGCAGAGTTCCTGCAGAATCATCGCATCGTTTCAGCCACCAGATCTGCGGATCTGTGACCTTTCTTGAAGGGAATCTGCTGTTCCATGTGTCTGGCCAAACGCACGAACCAAATCGGGAGTGATCAGTCATCAATATACAAGTTTGGTATATTTTGGTGAGACAGGTGCGCCGTTGTGTGACGTTTTGTTCGCTCCTTTCTGCAAAGGGCTGAAACCCGACGCTGAAAAACCCTTTTTACCACTGGCACAGCACAGCACAGGAAGGGCGCACCACTGACACCGACGGCTCCTTCGGGAAGTTGCAAGTAGATCTTCACTTTGGCACCTCCGGACGCGACGCCGCGACGGCGGGGGGGGCTGCTCGCCGTGCTGGAGGGGGTCCGGACGGTCGACGCGGCACCTTCTGTCCCCCCGAAAAAAAGCTTTCAACGCCTTGTTCCACCCAAAGACGTCCCCAGACACCCAGCCGAAATCAGAAGCGCTCTCCGACGCCCGGTCAGCCCCCCCGCCGTCGTCGGTCCAGGAGAAGCTGCGGATGGGCTCCACCCGTTTCTCGGAGATCGGGCCATTGGCCTGGGGTGAGCAGGGATGAGCTTGTCTTGTCCGAAGAATGCCAGGGGCCCGGAGAAACGTGGAAGTTGAAACTGTTCAGCTTCTTGTTGGAGCACATTCAGGCGGGATCCGATCTGGGACTTACGGACGGAGAGGACGGGCACGTGGCAAGATTAAATTCACATTTACCTGACTTCCCGAACTTCAGCGATGGGATGGATACAGAACACTGGATTCAGCATGGTGAAGCTACCTGGATGAATCGAGTTCCAATCGAGATGGAGAATGGATCCACAAGTTCGTCGGCTACCAAACCTACCAAAGACCATCTCCTTCCAACGTGTCAGCATTGGACTGCGGCCGGCCCCGACCCCCCCCAGTCGAGTGTCGGCACACGCACGGCACGCCTCGATGTCCAACTTCACCGGTGGACCGCCTCAGGAGGTCCAAAAAAAACGACGAACGCGGCGCGTGTTTTCACCACAGGGCCTGACCCAAAAAAAATAACGATCAAACCCCTTGCCCACGACCCTCTTTTTGTAGCGGTCCTGTCCAACTCCAAGGGTCTGCTCTTGAGCAGGCTGCCTCCTAAAAAAGGCCTTGGCCTCCACATTGGAGCCACGACGAGTTGTTGTGGGCATGAGGCAAGAAAGTCGACATCGGTGATTCAACCCCGGAACACCCTCGTGCTTCCATCGCTCGGGTGGGCAGATCTAGGACTCCACGGTGCACCCCTGGTGGCAAGGTGAGGCTATCGCCATTGGTGACGAGGCCGACCTGGGCCTTCCGCCGAGGTGCCCGTCACCAGCCCGGGACCTTGGAGAACAGAGTGAGGCATCCAGAAGGGGGCAGAAGAGAAAAAAGAAAGGGATGTCAAGTCTCGAAAGGCATCACTTTTTCGGTCAGGTTTCAATAGACTTAGAATCTGGCCAGAAATCACCTTGGCATCTGCTGGGACCTGCAGTTCACGCACGTCCGAAGTCAAACCAAAAGAGTGCGCATAAGAAAACTGAGGGTGGTGCTTCGAATTGCCGATTGTGCGCATAGTAGTACGCATTTTCACCTGGGCGGGAGCATGATATGACACATGCAAGTTATGTGTAAGAAGCTGTGTGACCTCTGCCAAATGGAACTTGCCATTGGCTGCGCGCCTTTCGTCTTAATGTTCTCCCGCAAGGCAGAGGCAGATGCCTCAACCTCGTTCCAACATTCAAGTATGTGCTAGCTGCAAGCCAGAAGTCAATGAATGCACACAGCTCGAATCACTATCCATGCCAGGAAGGCATTTTCAGCGGGCTGTGTTGCGGCTTGCTCCGTAGTGGCAGCCTGCCAAATATCCACTGACCTTCCCCCAGCTGGCACCATAGTAGCTGGACACGAACACATCGAAGAACGCCGCTACCTCGGGCTCTGGAGCTGGCAGCTGCCTTCCGAGGAAAAGCGACAAAATTGACCTCGCAAAGGATGGGAGGCACAACGAAGCAAAAATGCATGGAAGATCCATTGACATTGAAAAGCTCCTAGAATGAAGCCTTGCGCATGAGCTCAGTACCCCATTGCTGGTCGATCCGGGGACTGCAGCTGGACCAAAAAGCGGTCAGCGACACGGTGCGGCGTCGTTGTGAGGAAGTGTCTCCTACAATCTCCTATATAGATGTATCACCCAAAGCCTACGAGCCTCCGATTCTCAACCTCAACTTGATGGTTCTGTGGTTCAACCAGCCACTAGCTGACTAGCTCGGAGGTCATGAAGTGTGACGGACAGTCATGAATTGGTCACGTGATGCTTCAAATCAATGGTCCCTTCAATTTTTAGGAGCATCCACTTCCAAAGAATTTGGAAAGCATAGTTTAACGATGACTCACGATTGCACCTTTGGCCCAATGACTGGATGAATGAAAGGAACCCTCCAAAGCAGAAAGCCAAAGCAGGAAGAATCGCCATGACCATTCAGCCAAACATACGTACTATCGTTGGGGGCGGTTGTGATCAGGTGGTCCCTTTGAAATTGCCTTCTTCCGCAACAACCGCAGCAAGCCATCGGCCAAAGCAGATGTTGCGACCTGTGCGGTCTTTCGTGTAAGAAGGCTGTTGCTTCCAAAAAATGGGAGAGCGAAGCAATGCGGCCTTGGAACTGAGGTGGGCTCCAGAAGCTGCAATCAAAAGGTGCAAAACACAGCGCCCAGTTTTCATGGGCCCATTGGACCTTGTCCACATCAGAGCAACAAAAATGACTTTACAGGCTCCGATCGAAGATTCAGGCCCTGCAGAAAGAAGTCTTCACCGCAAGTGTCTTTGAAGCCCTCCAACGCTCGCAGTGCAAGAGCTTGACCTGGATGAAAAGCATCTGACACACCAATCCATTGGCCAAAAATGCAGCTCAACTGACAGCAATTGGAGAATCTGTCGAAACCATCTGCGCCTTTTCTCCACTTGAGTGGATGGAGAGAGAGGAAAAAAACGACGCGTTCTAAACCAGAACACGCGCCAATTCTTCTTTTTTTGCTACAACGCGCGTCAACGACTCATTAAGCGAGCTACAACGCGCTCACCGACCAAAACGGTCTCCTCCTCAGCTCCCGCTGCGCCTTGGGAACTATTGGGATCAGCGACCGCCTCGAGGAGCGTCCGCAACGAGGATGTGGCGCTTCCGCCCGGCGCCTCCAGGTACTCCAAGCGTCGCTGCTTCAGCTGCTGCTCCTGCGCAGCACAACGGCAGAAGGGGCACCGCATCCAAAAGGAGGGGCGGAAGGGTCCAAAAACCCTCAGCACCCATATGGAATATCCCTCCAAAATGAAGGAAAGTGACTTCCCAAAAGTTCCTGACTGTGGTTGAAATCTTGTACCACGTTGGGTGGGCATGTCAGACAGGCAGGCAGGCAGGCAGACAGACAAACGGATCGATGGATAGATAAATAGATAGATTATGATATCGCGGCTTCAATCGGTGTCTCGGTGTAACGGTGTCTCGGTGTAAAACGCATTTATACAGACACCAAATGCATGCCCTATGAGATATATGTTTTGGCAGTTTGACGACTCGGAAACGTTGGGCTTCAGGAGTTAACATCCTCGCTTCAACTGCGGAATCTTTGCGCCGAAGTGTGCACCATGGCGCGTAGAGGAAGCCATCAATCAAAAGCTGCTGCAGCAACCGACGGCAAATTCACGACGTCTAATGGCAGTCAGGGAGTCTTCCGAGACACTCCCAAACCAGAGCAATGAGAATCCATTCTTCACAGATCAGTGACTGAACTAATCTAGTGAAGCACCAAGTGAAGTATGGGCACATCTGTATGTCAGGTCATATAGATAGATAGGTAGGTAGATGGATAGATAGATAGATAATTAGATTAGACAAGACAAGACAAGATCAGATGAGGCTATATAGATAAGATAAGATAAGATTAGATTAGATTAGATTAGGATAAACTAGGATTAGATCAGATCAGGATTAGATTAGACTAGACCAGATTAGAGTAGATACGGTAAGACCAGATTAGATCAAATAGATAGACAAATAGACATACATCTCGCGACGCTATCAACCCCGGTTAAATTTGCTTTGATTCCGATGCTCCCATCATCCCAAGTCCGCCCAAACTGTCCACCGGTGTCCTGAAAAGTGGCTAAGACCTGCCAGGGAGTCAGAGCCGTCGGAGCTTTTTGACCCCTTATTAAGAACGGGGAAAATGCCAAAGCCCAGGGCCAGGCCCAGAATGACCAGTTGGGATTTGAGCCAAGAGTCTTGGGGGGGATATATCCAACCACCGCCGGAGGCCACGCTTGGATTCGCAGGTGGGATTCTTTAGACTTCCCCGTGTGGCGGTGCTTGGTAATGCTTGGACCCGCGGTACGCAACGGCCATTGAAGCTCCAAGACGTACCTCCTCAACTCTTCCACTTGGACCCAACGACCCTCCGCGTGCGCTCCGCCGCAGGCCACAGCTCGTCCGGTGCTGTCGGAGGCCGTCACGGGGCGTTCGGATCTTGGCCCTCTATGCGGCCAGAAAAAGACCCCCAAATCCATGGAAACACCGGTTTCGGTACCGGGCAGTGAGTTGAATTCTCTCTTCGGCGCATCATCCGGAAAACATGTACGGCGCAGGCTTCACGATGGTTGAACGATGATTTTCGGGGTTTCACATCACGTCTTGCGAACGCACTTCTCGCTCTGCGCCAGGTCGGGCCGGATGCCGATGCGATGCCACGAGACAAAGACGACAGGCGAAGATCGCACGAAAAGGCGCTCTTCCGCTCCTGCCGACCCTCGCCTTGAAGATGCTCATCTGCAAGGCCAAAGGGTTGAAGGACGAGACCACCAACTTCACCGCCCCAGCATAGGCCTCTTGAGCCCAGGCAGCTTGGGCCGTGCGGTTCTGGCAAAGGCTTGGTGACATGAGGAGGCTTGGCTGTAGATGGAGGAGGCTCACCATGCGGTCCAAGAAGCCTTGGTCCTCTGGAACGAGAGCACACAAAAGCCACATACCACGTGCTCGTTTGAAATGTGTAACATGTTCTAAGGAGAAGAAAAGATTGAATTGGACAGCTTGGACGACCCTCACGAGCGACCGAAAACTCGTAGTTTCGCTACGCACTGGCGCCCAAAGCAGGACAAGAAACACAAGAACAATGCAAAAGGACAAAAAGAACCAAACCCATCCTTGATGGCGACTTCCAAGCGTTCTGCAGTGGTGATGGTGGCGGACCAGGCTTCCAACAAAGCTTCACTGCACCTCTCATCCGCATGAAGGGCCCGTTCCCAGGATTCCCGCATCGAGGCAGTGTCGGCTCCTGGGCCCAAACTGCTTCGATTCGCTGTCGGCTCCTGGCTTCCTTAGACCAACGACCTAGGTCCCCTGCTCGACGTCAAGTTTGGGGTTGGGTCCAAGCACTTGTAGAAATTCACGAAGGAAGGGTCGAGTTGCAGGATGTGAGAATTGGAAGGGTTCAAAAACTCAGTGGGGTAAAGTGTTGTCTCCGCCTTCCGGCATGGAACCTTCCATTCAATCAGTGAGTCATCTGAACCCCCCCAGGGTCCTGCGCATTCCGAGAAATTCTGTGCCAAAAGAACTGCATCATCCGTTTGGTCCAAGGCCTGGGTAAATGAGGCGAAACAGCTCTCGGCTCTCTGCCAGTCACTCGGGTGTGATCACTTTGTGAGCAAAATATCCCAAAACTCGTCAACTGGTTTCAGAGTAGATGGCGCAATCCCCCAAAGGTGGTTTTGGGTTTGTGGCATCTATTCTAAAACCATCTATATAAAACCACTGTAAAAGTTTCTTTTTTTTGCGCCTTCAAGTGGAGCATGGTGAAGGTATCATGCTTCTCATGGGTGTGGAGGAAGGACTCCAAGAGCGAGGTCCAAACGACTTGTGCCTCCACGTCCAACGACCTAGCAGGCGCCGACAGCGGAGGCATCCGCAGCACCTTCACCGCCTGCGCCACCTCACGGTGCTCGGACGCTTGGTCGCCTCAGGATGCGGAGAACGACGGCACGGTGACGGCAGGGTGACGGCCGGGATGTTGGAGGGCGTACGGTTGAAGCGCTCGGAGGCGTGCGCAACGTGGGGGCGCCTGGGGCGCCAAGGGTTGAAGAGGTGTCAAGGGTGGGGTCAACCCACTGAGACCTCCGGGGTACCCTGGGCTCAGGGGGTCGTTGGGGCCATCACCCACGCATGTTGGCTGTTCTTCTGTGGGGTGGTACGGACAGCCTGCAAGAGAGGAAGGCAAGACATCACCATGCCCATGGTTCTAATGGTACGGGGGTTCGGACCAAAACACGCGAAAGAAAGGGAAACCTCTGCTACACAACCGGCTTGAACGGTTTCAGACCCAGGTGCTCAAGCGACGTAGTTTGTCCTTGATCTGGTTCTGGGCGGAATTCGAGGTCTTCCAAGCGTTGCTGGGCTTCAATCGGTCACTCAGGCTTTGATGGTAATGATGCAGCATTCCCTTCATGGCTCTGACACGATGAGGCCAATATGCCACCGAATCATTGGTTGTATTGGTCAGAGAGGTTTCCTTAAGCCGCAGAATGAGATCATCTGCCGTCTCTTTGTGCCAATCCAAGACCTCTCGGTCTAAAACCAGAGTCGAAGTGGGATTCTCTTCTGTCTGTGGAAAGCTGGTGAGCTCCTGCAACAATGCTGGCAACGACAAGATCTCCGAAGCCGCGCTTGCCGCTCGCGCGTGGGTCGGCGTCGCCACATGCGGCGAGCCCATGGCCCACAACAAGTATCGCGTCTGGTAGTCCAAGAGGGCGCGGATGTTGGTCATGAGCGCCATGTGGGAGTTCTGCAAGCTGGTCAAGACAGAAGAGGTTCCTGTCCGTACGGCATCGTCAATGCAGAAGAGGTCACACATGACCTTCGACAGGCCGTACTGCAGAGGAAGGCAATCTTTCTGGGCGGCATCGGCCAAGAGAGTGGCATCAGGCACATACTGGCCCGTGAGAGTTGGAACGGTCCTTGACCAGAAGAAGAGAGTCAGACACAGTATGACATGCAAAAACCGAAGAAACCAAAAACAAGGCTCGCCACAAAAGGGGCGAAAGGCGGCGAATTCCTGGTTTCACCTTTTCGACACACTGGACGTTGTTCAGCGAGCTGAGCTTCTGTTGCACCAGCTCCTTGGACATGTTGATCAAGGCTTGTGGACTTGGAGGTGTGGGTGGTTTCACGTGTTGATTGGAGCTGATGATGCCAGTGATGCCCTGCTGGGCATAGACGCCATGATCCATGAAGTCCTGGAAGCTCCCGACGGGGTTGTTTCCTGAAGGCACCAAAAACGACTCCAAGTCTTGCATGAACCGGCGTTCGTCGAAGACGAACGCTACGTGGCAAATGCGAACGGTTGGAAAGGTTGCTTTTCTAGCCAAGTCTCCGATATTCTGCAAGGTGCTGGAGCCAAAGTTGTAAAGGCCTCCAGCAATGCCGGCTCCGACACTGTATGCGGCACTGGCAACGGCTTGCCCTGCGTTGCTCACAGCACGTTTCAGATCCTCCTGGCCAACTACACGCAAAGAAAGAGGAAGGGCTAAATACAGATGACGTTTAAAGAAGAAAACACTTTTCAGGGGACGACTTTTTCCTCTACTCTTTGGGCTTCAGGGGATGTCAAGAACAGGAACTTCACAAGACAAGCCCAAAAGCACACCCCAAATCAAAAAGAACAGCCGTATGCACGTCTTCTCAGAGCAAGCATCCATGAAGCTGGATTCCAAGGTCCCTCTGCGCGTCAGCTTTTCAACTTCGGCCTCCGTGAGGAGTTGCTGGTCCACCTCACGCTTGACGACCTTGGGGTGACACGGGTCATGCGGAACTGGCGAATCGTTCGGCCGGCCAACTGTTCCTTCTCATTGTGGCGAACCGCGCAACCCTGCCGGCCGGGAGTGTGGACTTCGCTCTCAACAGAACTCACAAAGCCTGCAAACACAACGATCCCCTCATCCCTCCAACCTAGCCTGTTTCGACCTCCAAAGTCGTTCGATGACCAACTCCCAACGACCTGGCCCTGGTGCCGGGCGGCAGCCACCGACTCCTGCGCCACCTGCTGTTCTGCTTCTTCAGCCCCTTTGGCTCCCGGCATGGCAAAGCTTCCCCAGGGGATCATCCCGACCAAACCCGCCGCCAGTTCCACACCGAGGGTGATCTGCTGTATCCTGCAGAAAGGCGGTGTGTTCGAAGACTCCAACCGAAGGAGTTGGCGCGTTCCGGGAAACGAGGCTCGTCGGTGGTTTTGGGGTTGTGGGGCCAAAACCGTGAACAGTTGGACGTGGATTTTGTTCCCTTTCCTGCTCTGACCATAACTTGAGAACCTCCACAGCGCTGCAGGCTGGGATGTCGAGGGCTCACTTGGGATAGTTGGATTTAAACTCTCTTTGGAAAAAAAACAAGTTACGCTGCAGTGACCCACACTAGAAATGTTGCAGCGAACGTGTTATCTCTGAAAACCTCTCTGCGGAGAGGTTTATATAATATATATATATATATATGTGTGTGTGTGTATGTATGTATGTATATATATATATATATCTACAATTATATACACGTGTATTTATATGGATTACAGTAATAAAGGCAAGCTCCGACATCACTTGGAGCGAGTGAGTTCACTCACACCGCCCACAAAGGTGGAGCTGCGGTGGGGTCACCCCGTCGTTGGGATCCGGAGTCAATTTGTCACCGTCTCGGTCAACCCGTCACTTTTCAGGAAAACCCTTTTTTGCCACGGCACGTGGCTTGTTTTGCTGCTATCATGTTGGCCAGCTTCTCTTTGTCTGCCACATTCATCTGGTTCAAGTACTTGCGGCGCTTGCTCCGTTCGCTGCATTGCCAAAAGGCCTTATTGTTCGAAGGCACGACCAAAACCAAGCCTTGGCGAAAGGTCACCAAATCGGGGTACGCATGCCACCCAAAATATGGCCTTTTCCTATCACACACACACACACCTTGCGCACCAATCCGTGTCGCACCTCACTGCCCTTCCCCTACGGGGGGTACACGAGGAGAAAATGTACAAAGAACAGGATGTACCAAAACATGCACGCAACCACATGGCATCCGTGTGAATTATGCGAACGATATGCATATCGAAAAGCGTAGGCACCTAATTGAAGAGTCAAGCGTTATCGAGTTCAAACCTGTTTTATTGCGCATGCACTTGCCGGACTTGCTGGTACAGATTATGCCGGAGAAAAGTCTAGCCTGTAATGTGCGCCGAGTCGAATTTATGCGGGTACGTTGAGCCTTTTCCTATCAAAACAGGGGTCAGTTGGGTTCAAGGTGGGTATGCCATTCCTTCGAGGCTTTGATTTCTGTCTATCCCTACGCCTCTCCTGTCTTCCCTCTGTGATCTCCAGTCTTCCATCACTGACCCCCCAACCTCCTCAGTGATTCCCTTGAGCAGCGGTTGCTTCGGCGCCGGTTGCAGCTGGGCCGGCATGGTGTTGTAGGTGTGATAGCATGGATTCCCAAGTGGGATAGACGCAGCACCTGCGAAGGCATAGGGATTCTGCCGAAAAGCTGGATCACAATAGACCTTGTAGTTGGGCGGCGATGCTTGGAAACTCATCAGCACCGGTGCGGTGGGCTTCTGGCTTGGAAACAGCGTCTGCGGCGTGGAGCCCATCCTCGGGCATTGGTCGGTCCGGCACCAGTGTCACAGAAGCTACGCCTACTAAGCAACATGATGGGGCTGATGGGACACATAGGAACAAAGGGCATCGCTACGAACGGAGCAAGAAGCTAGTAGTAGCTCCTGGCATTTCTACTAGGAGCAAGAAACAATGCCCTGGGGCACTTGCAGCTAAGGTGTGTTCCGCTTTTCGTCTTTCATCCCAGTCTTCTCTCTTCGGGTTTGCGGAAACTCATGGCAAACCATTTGCGCCGCCGATGGTGCCCTTCCAATCCGAAGAAGAAGAAGAAGAAGAAGAAGAACAAGAAGGAGATATGATATACATGCTATATTTATATATAAGATATTTATTTTAAAAAAAAAAAAGTAAAAAAATATAGAGTAGTCAGTCGCCCATGCGTTCGACTCTAGCCACTCCCTTGCTTGGATGTTCGCCAAGCATCACATACGCCGCAGTCAAGGGCTCAATGAAGCTCGCCGAGAAAGCGGAACCCGAAGCGTTCACCGCCACGGGGGTCTCCTGGGCGCGTAAACGCCCACCCCACCCCGGACGGACGGGGTGACCCAAGTGCTGAAGGTCATGAGACATCGAAGCACTAGGGATCAATGGCCCAAACTGATGGCCGCGTGGTTTGGGACGGGACGTGTGGAGGCCCAGTGTCTAGTCGTCCATCCGCCCCATCTCAAGATCAAAAGTAAGAGGGTCCACGGCAGAACACGATCGAAAAATAACTGCACCCCATTCTTCCCAGGTCTTTGGAGACACCATGGTCTGTGAAACTGTTGGAAGCGATTCCAGCCACTCCCCTGGAATTGCTGGTGCCCAGGCTCAGCACTCCCAGGCAATGCAAAAACCTTCCCAGAAGAAGAGGCGAGCTCCCAGGTTTCAGCGAAGCGGTTCCAGCTCAAGGTCCAGGACGAAGTGCTGCCAGAAACATGAGCAGTGCACGGAATCCGTGAAAGTGGAAGCAAAAACACCCAGAAAACTCTCCGTCCGAAATCTCTCAAAAGAGCATCAAAGAGCCCTTTCTGAAATGTTCATGTGACGTTTCAGCGACCTCACACACACAAAAAGAAAAAGGCCATGCGGCAACCCAACTGTTTCCGGCTCTGGCGCTTGGTTCCGGACCCACTCGGTTACGAAACAACTCCTTGATGCGGGACAGCAGGAGTTGGGGGAATCTCGGTAAAGGTGTTTACCTGACTTTGGGTTTTCCCGAGATGGGTTTGTCGCGCTTTGGGTTTTTGGCTACTGCTTTCCGGATGCGGTGCTTTGCTCCCGCAAATCGGTCGTCGCTTTGACTCGGCTCCGACTCGGATGGGCACCGTTCGCTGGCCACTGCTTCTTACGGGAGTTCTCCGTAAGGCCGGGGTAGCTGTGCAAAGAGGCGAGGCCGGGTAGCTTCCACGGCACCATGCCGGTCCCCGCGGGTCGGTCCGCAACCCGTCTGATCCGTCTGGCACTCCGGAAAGACTTGCAGTGCTTGCCTGAGGCTTTTCCGAACATCAATGACGTTGGGATCCCTTTTCAACAAGCCGGAACAGGCTCTCAGATGCATTTGTGGTGGATCAAGTCTCACAAAACTTGGCCGGAACTGCAGGCAATCCATGGTAGTCAGCTGGAACTTTGGCAACACCAGCTGAACCAAGAGGCTGATTGGATTGCAGGTGAGGGAGGCAGAAATTTGAACAGACCCCGGGTGAAGCTGACAAGAGTATAATAGTGCAGTGGGTTGGCGATAGGTCGAAGGTTCTAAATCGGTTGACCTCTGTTCTCTTCTTGGATGACTCTTGAAGACACTGATCCTACTCTGACATCAGCATTAGCAAGCCCACAAAGCTCAATTGGTAGTGCACGCCAACACCACCCATGGACACCATGGACTCCATGGACACGGCAACGCTCTGAAGCCTAGAGCGTTGCGTGTGCTGGCGGTGTGGACTGATTGTGCGGGTTCTTTGTGCAGTAGAGGTAAGAAGACTGTGCCATGAATGTCCCTTATGTGCTTTCTCGCCTTCACAACTGCCCGCTTATCCTTCCACACTTCAGAGCCCCGACCCAACACTTTTAGTCCATGGGAGGTGGGCAGTGTACCAAATGCAAGAAGTTTGGTAGGATCACCCATGTCATCTTCAAAAAGGTGTGGCGCAATCCACGCGCCCGCCGCGTTACAAGGAGGTCACCAGTCTCGCTAGTCTTGACACTTGTTTTTTGTGGCTCGTTTTGAGCACGGGCTCTGCTTGAGCTGGTTCAACAAAGAAACGGATGCATCTGCGCCTTGAAGACGATGGTGACCCCAAGCTTGGCATCAAAGTCTTCACATAGCTGGGTGCACCAGTGATGTCCATCTGGCTGGGACAGTAGTAACCCTCGAAGTCCTGATGTGTTTGCCGATGATTTAAAATCCATGAAGATTGCACGGAGGATTGAAACAAAGAAACACTGGCTCGAATTTTGGGTGGTCCAAGTTCCGAAAGACGTTGGAACAGAACGTTTTTTAATGTGGAGTGGTCCAATCTTTTGCCTTCCAAACCTTCCTGGTAGATGCGACTGTGGCGCGGCTGGGAGGTCAGGGCCATGCCCAGGCGCCTGGTTGTTGGGAAGAACCCAGCAGGTGAGGATGGCCCATGAAAAGGTTAATATGTACAAACTTAAATTCCATATACACACATATACAATATATATCTCTATATATATACACACTTATATATAGGGTTTGGTTTGTATGTGCAAGCATATGTCCAAAACAACGGCAATGGCCTCTGCAACTGGCAGCAGCCGAGCTTGAACTGGTTGGAATCAAAGCTCACCGAATTCACGATTCCTCCGCTCTGGCAATAGGAGGCCATGGGTTGCTGACAGGACGACAACAGTGGCGTGGAGCGGCAAAAGAGCCTCAGGGCCGTGGCATTGCTGGGGCCACCGTAGGGACCTCCCTCCACCGGCACATTCGGCAGGTTGTACCAGCCGCTCACGGCGCTACCGTCGGGGCACGCAATCGACCCGGAGAAGGAATAGAAGGTCTTCTCCTCGGCGAGGGGACCAGAGTCCGAAAAATGGGCGCAAGCACCAGAAACATCCACCAAACCCCACTGAAGATACTTCGCCCTGCTTTTGAGGGTTTCTCATTTGCAGGTTTAGATCTCCCCCAGTTCCGGGAGAAAAGAAAGAGACCTTCGGTTTTCCTGCCTATTTGCTCCGAGCGTCGGCCGCAGCGTCCAGCTGACGGCAGTAAGGCATGGTGGAGCTATCAGATGCCACCACTGCACCCGGAGGACACCGCAGGCCCCAGGGCGCACCACCCGGTTGCAAACTGAGGAAACCCACCACCTGCGACCCACCACGGCCGTTCGCGGGTCCAAGTGGAAACCCCGGACGGGACGCGTTTGAGTGCTTTTTCGTCCGTGTCAAGCTCCAGAATGAAAGTGCGAGACATTTGGGCGCATTGACATGTTGCCCTAAGTGCTTCTCCTTCCTTCGTTGGTTGACGCGTGATTTGGAAGATAGGAAAGGATGAATGATGGAATGATGACCTCATGAGGCATACTCTACAAATCTATTGGCAGTTAAACCATTTTCCTGCGGTGGAAGCCCCGTAGCCTCTATAAGGTGCCGTCTCTGTTGAAACATTCGGACACCCAAGAGAATAAGGACAAAGTCTAGAGATTTGGATGCATTGGGCTCTAAAAAGGGGCCTGGACATCCAGAGCTCTAGAGATCCAGAGGTCTTTGAGATCCAGAGCAGGTCTAGAGATCTAAACGATCTAAAGGCCTAGAGATCGAGAGATTTGAGGGCGAGATCCAGAAAGATCAAGAGATCTGGAGGTCTAGAGCTTTTGAGATCCAGAGAGGTGTTGAGATCCAGAGTTCTAGAGGCCTAGAGATGCAAAGGTCTCTAGGTCTAGAGGCTTGAGTAGAAACATAGAGGTCTAGAGATCCAGAGGTGTTGATGCCCAGAGAGATCTACAGGTTCTTCTAGGCCAAAGAGATCTAAGAGGCCTAGACACTCAAGGATCTAGGCTCTTAGAGATCTAGAGGGGTAGCCAGACCGATCTAGAGATCTAGGGGTCTACAGTCTACAGATCCAGGGGTCCAGAGCTCTAAAACGGCTCTAGAGGTCTAGAGATGGGTCTGGTGTACCGCTGTGTACAAGGTCGCTCTCGCACGATCGAGATGAGTACGTATTTAAACAACAGATGAGAGCGTGCCTGCCCCGCAATCGGCACTTCAAGGTTCACAAAATGCTGCGCATGCCACGTAATCTCAAGGTTGACAAAAGACTGCCCTTGCCACACAATCTCCACTTCAAGGTTGACGAAAGACTGCCCTTGCCACACAATCTGCACTTCGAGGTTCACAAAATGCTGCGATTGCCACATAATCTGCACTTCGAGGTTCACAAAGGTCTGGAGGTGTGAGGTCTAGAGGTGCAGAATCAGAAGGTCTCGAGATCTGGACATAGCGGGTTCCCGAGAGATCTATGGATCCAGAGGACTTGAGACGCTCTGAGGTCCAGAGAGGTCCTTGAGATCCAAAGGGTGGAGATCTAGAGGCCAAGATTTAGATCCAGAGAGATCGGGAGACCAAAAAGGTCTAAAAGCCCAAAGGTCTACAGTCTTCGGTGTCTTGAAGATCTATCGAGGGCTAAGAGGCCCAGAGGCCGGAGCTTCGGATCTAGAGGTCTAGAGTTCGAGAACGAGATAGGTCTCAGAACAGCACATGCAGAAAATAGATGTAGCAAGTCACTATGTGCAAGGTCACTCTCGCAAGATCTCGCAAGATCTCTAAGCACGAGAGCAGCGAGCACATGTGAGAGCACCAAACGCTGCACGTGCCACGCAAGCTGCACTTCAAGGTTCACGAAATGCTCCGCGCGCCACGCAATCTCCGCTGGCGCCTGCCACGAAGTTGGCACTTTGAGGTTCCCATCTGTCAGCAGTTGGCCGCTCCCACGAAAAGTCGGCTGCGTGGCACCACAACGAATGGAGTGGACGAAAGCACATGCTGCGCCCCAGCCAAATCTGCGTGCGGTGCGCAGTCAAAATGCACCTTTTCAGAGGTCGAGAGGCATGAATTCACCGTAAATGATAACGGCGAATCAGCCAAACACGCCGATGAGCACCTCGATCAAACACCTGGCCTTATATAACTATTACCGTAAGAACCCCTAGTGGGACCACTCTTTGGGAAAAGAAATCAAAGTTTCGAAGAATATTTCTGGAATTGTATGCAGCTGGCATGTTAGGGACCAGCCTTTTGCCACAAGCACCAAACCGACTCCAAATGACACAGCAAGTTTGGGCAGGACAAAAACTGCACTGCGCCTCCGCAAAGGCTGCCGTCGGGCCCGTGTAGTTGAACGGCGCAGGGTGGGGATCTCCGAAGGGCGTCGTGTGATAGGCCAAGCGCAGCAAATGGCTCAACTGCTGCATCGTCATGCCACCGCCAGCGGTGTTGACGGCAACGTTGGGATCTACCGTGGTACCAGCTTCCATCCTTGTGGTGAGAGGCAGAGCAGTAAGCCGCTACTCTACATCAAGAACCAAAACAGCCAAGCAGCAATACGGGGCAATTCTTCTGCATCAAGAGTGTCTGCACTTCATCCATGAACCTTGGCTTGGACATGGCATCTGAACTCGCGGTAACTTGAGGTAACTTGCCCTAAGACACTTTGTGACTTCGTGTCGAATCATTCAGGTCCAAGCGCAGGGAAGGAGCAAGCTAGTTGCTTGATACAAATCACTCACCTTCACCGCAGCATTGCTGGCACACAAGGTGGTGAGATTTCCATCCAGCAAAGGCCCTTCTGCATGGCCTGAGGCAGACCAATAATGAAACTGTCTGAACCCCAAATCAGAGCCTAAGGAGGCTTCAAGAAGAAGTTGCCTCTTTATGGCCCAGCTGAAGCACCTGCTGCAGCATCTGCTTAAATCCTCTAACTCCAAAACCTGGGCCTGGCAGGCATGTGAAAAGGATGTTGTCCGACTGCTTAGTGGCAATATGGATTCCAGGAGCCCTGGTGTAGGCCATGAGTTCTTTCGGAGACAGCATTGACGCGTTTAGAACGCTCAGATTCAGCGGTCGGGCATCGGCATTGGGATTGGGGTTGGAAGACATGGCCACTGAGAGGGAAGCTTCACAGCTCTGTAACTCCATCCAAGTCGATGAGGCATTTTGCTGATGAATGGTCTGGATGCTCCAGCTTTGAGTCCATAGAGTCGCGTTGCAGTCCTCTACAGGGCAGGAGGTTTTGAGTGGTCCAAAAGTTCTCAAGAAGTGGCATTGGTGAAACAAAGACCTTTTGAAAGCCTTCCTTCTCTACAGATGACCATTCTCTTAAACTCAGCCGCACAAATTGGAACAGCTTGCACGGCCCTGTCGTTGAAGAATACGGGAGTTTCACTGCTGGGATCTTCTTTGATCTCGGTCAGCCAAGGCCCCTCGCAAATTGCTGCGAACATCTCAGCTTGATCAAAGCTGGAAAAAATTGTTCCAGCGTAGACCCCAGATAGCAAAAGCATGCTAAAGATTTTTCTGGGCTGCACCCTGCATTGGCAGCAGCTCCAATTTTTATGCGCAATACAGCGTGGCGTGTCTCCACTACGTGCACAGCCAGCGCCAGCACCCGGCACCTCACAGCACCAGCACCAGCACCGGCACCCAGCACCCCCCTGTCTCCACCACGTGCACAGCCAGCTCCAGCGTGCACAGCCAGCTCACAGCACCAGCACCGGCCCCAGCACCAGCGCCGGCACCCGGCACCAGCACCATCAACCTGTCTCCACTACGCGCGCACAGCCAGCTCACAGCACCAGCACCGGCACCCGGCACCCAGCACCAGCACCAGCAACCTGTCTCCACCACGTGCACAGCCAGCTCACAGCACCAGCACCAGCACCGGCACCGGCACCACCAGCACCAGCACCGGCGCCCGGCACCCAGCACCAGCACCGGCACCAGCAACCTGTCTCCACCACGTGCGCAGCCAGCTCACAGCACCAGCGTGCACAGCCAGCTCACAGCACCAGCACCGGCACCCGGCACCAGCACCAGCAACCTGTCTCGAAAGCGCGCACGGGCAACTCATTGTTACTTGAAGTAAGAACCCCATAGCTTCGCTATCTGGGGAAAAATAGGCTGGGCTATGCATACACCAACACAAATATCCTGTAAAACATGTGTATTATATATATATATATATGCAAGTTGTTTCATATAGTTGTTTATATGCCCAAAACTCCCTTACAAGGCAAAGAACCAAAAACATGCTCCTCATGTTCACCAAGTTGCATTATATACAACGCCTCTGAGCAACTTTGTTTCAGGACAGCTGAAATTCATCAAGTGGGTGGTGGGGTCCAGAGTCGCTGGCTCTGCATTGTTGGGAAAGTGATGAGCCTGGCTGACGCTGGTATATTTGGAGCCGATGTAGCTGCAAAAAGCCGAACACTGTTGCTGAACACCGTTGCCGGTGTGGTTGTAAGGAGGAATTTCGGCAGGCCAGGTGACATTGGAAAGTACATAGCCAAAATCTGCACAGAAAACGATTAGGGCATCTGGACTTGGAGTGCCCGGGAGGCCCTCGGCGAGGTTCAAGTGCGGAAACTGCTGATTGGCCGCCGAAAGGGTCATACACTGTGCTGGCTTGGTGTCCTGGTAAAACAACAAGGGAGATGCCCGACAAACCTGCTCGTAGGTTCCATTCACCTCATTGATGCCACTGAACTCGCCATAACTGCTGCAAGGCGTATAGGGAGGGATGTTGATGCCAGCCACCTGGCTTCGGGCACCATTGTGAGTGGTAGCTACATCGTTCCACTGTGCTTGGAGACACATATTGGGCTGCGTGCTTGGGGAGATCGCACCCTTCGAGATTTTGAAGTTGAACTGAGCACCCGGATTCGTCGTTCGAGTGACAATCAATGCATCGACATTCATCTCCAAATAGTAAGTGGTGGTGAAATCCCCCTGGTGAAAATAAGCAAGATGAGCCCCTCTCCACATGAAAGCTGACGCACAGTCTGAGGAGATTACCATCGGGTAGCCTCCACCATTCTTCTTGGTGAGGTCGGCATGGAGGCAAAGACGCGCGTTGAAGGGAGGGTAATCCAGGTAGATCTGGAAAAGGCCTCTCGTGTTCATACGAAACCGTGTGCGCACTTCTTTACACACCTGCTTGGCAACTTCAATTATGTTGTGGAAAAAAACGTACTGTAATATATATATATATACCAATAAAGCCTCCTTGGTCTTGCTGAAAATTAACGTCCTCGCTTTCAGCGGACCCAAACCCTCAAAATACGAGGTGTTGCTTTTCGTGATCCAAGGGATCTTCGCCTTGCTGACTGCTGCTGCTCTTGAAGGCGAAGTTCCCCAAGCGCAGTGGCGGCCCAGAGATTCCCGACGCCTCGCTGGTGGCCGTCCAGAGCTTCTCGGCCGTGTTCTGCAGATCGAAGCCGAAGAAACCTGGAGAGAAATACTCAGTTAACTCCAGTTTTTCGAAGAAATTCTCAGTTGACCCCCAACTGATAACGACAGGCCTCTGGAAGATGATTGTCCTTTGCAACCCCTGTGGTGTTCGTTTTCAGGGTAGCTTCAAGGACAGTCTGAGAGGCTCTTCTCAGTCAGGTGGAAAGACATGGAAACACGCTTCATCTCTAGTGATTGATTCGCCATCGCCGAAGGATATCAGATTCTTAGTCAGTGTGCATGTGGGACAAAGATTGACAAAAGAGGGGTGGATGAACAATTGCATTGCCAAACCACCAGGTAAACTTATAATATGCACGATCACCCCACTGCCCTCACCTGATTGCAAAAGTAAGACATTAAAGCCACGAAACAATCTCCGGACTCAAAATGCCACAGGAACCTCAGCTGGTTCAGACCGAAAACCTCTTCAAAAAAAATCTGGCGGGGCAACGCAACAAGAGTGACTCTTCGCCATAGATCTCCCAAAATAGGAGTCAGGGAAGCAGGACTGGGAGATGCTTCCATGGGACTTGGATTCGAGGCATGTCCGCATACACTGGTATTTCTCTATGGCAGGAGTCTGGTTATATAAGTCGAACTTGGACTGACGAGCACTTGCACTTACAAGTATGTGATGACTTGCCCTTTCCAAATTGGAATTCACCTTTCGACGCTGCAAGATACATGGCGTGTGCAGTGTGTGCGCTGCTTCCTATGACCATCTGCCCCAACCTATTGTTGGTGTCGTGCCCTTTATTGCTGTATCTAGTTCAATTATACTAGCCAAGCCGAGGCACTCGACATTTGATCTTAGTTGACTTTGGGGGCAAGCAGTGAAGTCCAGTGCCCCTGTGGCATTTGCAGAGGCGCATTGTTGCCCACCTTGAAGCAACCCTCCCTGCATGAGAAGCATGTGGGACGAAGAGCAAGCACATGCGTAGAGTGGCATCTTGTCATAGCACACGCACCAGTTCTTGCGCGGATCCAGCGATCCATCTTTCACCCGCAGTTGGTCTGAATAAGCATCGATCCACCAGCTTGCACCTGTTGCAGCCGAGAACAGCTTGAGGCTTTGGTCCTCCAAAAGAAACGAAGACGGATCAGCTAACTGGTGGAAGAACCAACAGCACAACAACAACAAAAAAAGCAGGGGGAAGATGGGGGAAGCAGGTGACATCTGCGAGTGCTCATGTGAATATGTTTCTTGTAATGGTAGTGACAGCCTGCATGCTCCATTCGTTCGGTCCACGGATTCTTTGGCAGGTGCAACAGCTGGACGCTTCATGGTCTAAGTTCGTGAGCTGGGGACCCACAGGTCGAGCCTATAAGCCTAAGACTGGAGAAGAACAAATGGATAATCTAACATGCGACGGCACAGAGACCCAAGTATAGCGTGCACAACGCAAAATGTTTGTTCTTCCTTAAGTTGTTCCGCCGTGTCCCAACAAGGCAGTCAGTTTTCTTAGATTCTCGTCCTTGGGGTTGTTGAGTGTGTGAAACGAGCACCAGGCCCCCCCAGCCCAACCCTGCGTGAAGAATCTGAAGGCGCAAGGCCTTTCTGTGCGCAGGCGCCTGGGCCTGTGAACAGCGGCTCCTTTTCCGGGTGCCTTTTTGCGAGGTGCTTGTCAACATGTCCTTAAGCACGATGAAATCTATGAAATAATGCGAGTTGAGCTGCGCTCAAATCTTAAAGGTGTCTGTTCAATTTTGCATTCATCCGCCTTTCAACCTGGTCGCCTGCCGCACTCCTGGCCGCAGCTGAGCTAAGGAGGTGTCTTATCCTGCTTCTTCTTATCTTACTGTATCTTCTTTCGGTCTCTCTTCTCCTTCGCCACGCCCAAGAACATGCCCATCCCCGTGGACAGCAGCGGAGAAGCGGTCAAGAAGCCAGCTCTGGAGCAGCCATGGATTGAGAAGGGGTAGTTCAAGTGTACTTGCCTCGGAAATCATTCAAAGCAAGCCTGAAGCTAAGGTTGCCCACTATAAACCATCAATACTGGGTTCCTTCACTGCTGGGTCAACAAACTTGAGGCCAGCGGTTGGTGACGAAAGCGGCTGCATGGGCTGAAACATGCGAGGAGAGTGAGGCTTTTTACATCTCTGCGGTCACGTTTTCAGGCGGATGCATGTGAAGGGCACATGCAAGGCTGGGCTCGTGCATGAAGAGGAAGACGAAAGATGAAGCTCAGAATAAAAAACACGAAGGATCAGGAGGGAGTATACCTAATAAGAATGAAGTGAAGCATAATGGTCTCAAAACTGATGCTATGGAGGTGCGTGTGTGCCGAATTGATGCGAAGCATAATGGTCCCAAAATGGATGCTATCAGAGGTGTGAGTGTCGGGGAAATTGACACGTCCCAGGGTCATCCCGAGAGTTGAACCCAAAGCGTGGTGCCTAAGAACGGAATTATGTCCGTCCGTGTAGGACCTTCCATCTCACAGCAAGAAAACTTGCGGACAAAGCAAGAGTAACTCCAGCTGACGCTGACGCTAGCCTTCGTGAAAAGAGATGTCACAAAAACGACAGAGCCGTGCCGGCGCCGTGCGGATCGAGTCTGATAAAAAAAATATCGATTTGCTTTCGATAAGCAACGTCCGAATCACCATCGATTACTGTGAACGAACCGTCTTCCTGGATCACCGAAGTGCCGATGCTCCAGGAAGTAGATCTCCGGCATAGAGACCAAGGACAGGCGCTGCAGCGTGCCACTGCCGACCTGCAAACAGCGCTCGCACCTGGGAAACAAGACACGAAAGGAGAGGACCGATCTGGAGCAAGAAATGGACAAAAAAATGCATTCATCGAAACCAGTACGCTTTTCAAGCACATGTTGTCGTATGAAGTGTCATGAGAAATCATTCGCTTGCAGAACTCAAGCTTCATAAATGCAGAGCTGAGACTTTTCTGCTGAGTTCAGCACGTAAAGTTGGACATGTCTTGCCAAATGCCAAGTTCACCAACCCACTCCCCACTCACACAAGTAAAGGTCACAGGATTTTGCCGTGGCCCTTCCCACTGAAGACCAGCTTGAAGCCTAGAAAACATTGTAGACGTGTCATTGCACGCAACTGAGATCTGAGATGCTGAAGAGAAGGACTCGGGGGGTGGAGTCTTCTGGAGGCCAGTAGCTGCAAACGGGCTGGTTGCATCGATGTACTCGCAGCGCGTGCAAGGACCATCCTGCTTTCCAAGAAGGAGTTGAAGAGCATCGCAGGCATCAGCTTGCTCTTGGAAGAGGCACATTGGCAAGTCCGACGGAGTAAAGCTCAGCATGCTGCGGCGCCTGATCTCTTGCCAGCATTGCTGCGGATTCGCTATGCGGCAGTAATTCGCGTTTGGAGGCGGTATGCCATACAGCTCATTCACAACCTGCAAGCCAACATCTTGTATGTAGTTGCAGCTTTGGAACAACGTGCATGTCTGCGAGGTCTTTCCAAACAAGTAGAACTGGCATTTGGGTTCCTCGGATGAAAGGAAAAGCAGTGTCCCAAGGTTGCGAAAAGAAGCTGCAATCAAAAGTTATGTTCTAAGGGGGTCAAAATGTAACAAGGGCGACAACAAAACAAAAGTACATGTACATGCTTAGCAATGTCAAGCAAGGAAGAGTAAACTGAGCAGACGTAAAGTCACTGACTCCGAGATTTCTTTGAGAAAGCCAGGACTCCGAGGCACACGCCTTTTGACATGCCTCCATATCCAAGTGCGGGAACTGCCCCACTGAGGCCTGGGAGAGGACTCACCGGTCGGTTTGACGGATACGGTCGAAGGGAGGAGTGCCCAGCATAGCATGCAGCGAAGCAATGTCCAAAAGATCTTGAAGGTCGCAGTTATGAAAGTGTGCTAGCAAAAGGATGGATGGATGGATGGATGGATGGATGGATGGCTGGCTGGCTGGCTGGCTGGCTGGCTGGCTCGCTGGCTGGCTGGCTGGCTGGCTGGGTGGGTGGGTGGGTGGGTAGGTAAGCAGGTAAGTAGATTTTGTTCTCAAGTGTATATATATATATAAATATATAAATATATATATATAAATATATATATATAGTATCATGAATGTGTCACTCTCTCTCTCTCTCTCTCTCGCTCTCTCTCTCTCTCTCTCTCTTTCTCTTCACTCAGACTCTTACTCATGCTTTCCTTTTCAACCCACCCGCCAGGTCAAGCCACCGTCTCCTCGCAGGTGTAGGGCCCCGAGAATAAACGTCGATCGGAGACCTCAGTCGCTGGGTCCACCATCCGCTTCTGAAGTAGATTCTCATCCTTTCCCAACTCAATGTTGCCCCATAAAAACCTGTCATTCTTGGCACAACCCCACAGAAAAGGCCAAGTTCTTTGTGAAGGTCTTGCACTGACTGGGCAGGTACCATACGTTTTGACCCACCCCTCTCAGTTTTCTGCTTTTTTCTCCTTGGCCCGGGCAAAACGAAGGAGAAGCTGCCAACGACTGAGCCTGGCACAGAGCCGTTGTTGAAGTGGCCCTGCGCATTGCGAGGCACCGCGGCGTTGGAAGCAGCATCCACGGGGGCGACATGCGCATGAGCTGCGCCGAAGCAGTCGCAGGGGTGCAAAGAGTAAAGGGAGGAGTCCTGAACGCTTCCAAGCATTAGGTTCGGAAGTGTGGGCTTTGGACAGGATGGCGCTGACAAAGCTAAGGTAGCAGGTTGAAGCGCTGCTGTTCGAAGCTTGGTGGGCTTTGCCTGAAGCTCTGCGGGGAGCAAGTGCAGATCGAAGGCTACTTGACCCTGCTGGAAGGTGTTTCCCACGACATCCGAGTCAATGCAAGCCATGGGATCTCCAAAAAACTCCGGCGCGTTCTTGGACTGGGCATCTTCGAAGTCTGAGGAATTGATGTGAAGAAGCATCCAGCTTGACCTAATTCCGTGGGCGGGGGCGCCGGAACAAGCCTTTCTTCGAAAGTCGGTGGCACACCTCTCTCTCACACTCTTGTCTGCAAAAAAGCAAACATCTCAGATTAAGAACACCTATATAAGAGGTCTTGCAGAGACCAAGCGGCTTTGCGCAAGAGGTGGGAATCTGCTGCACGTTCTCGGTTCGGCTCAGGAGAAGTTGTCGTTTGGGGTTTGATCCCGGACGAGAATACGAAGCAGTGTCATGGTAGACGTTCATCACTGAAAATTCCCCTTGAAGATACTGTGCGTCAGGGACCGTCAGATTGAGGCTGGCATCTTGCTCAGAACAATTGTTCAAACGCACAAGCGCCAATGCTTCTGGTACAAAGCTCTCGTTGCCATCACTGACCATCAACTCACAGGTGCCGGCAGAGAAAATGATTGCAGCGCAATCTTCTCGAAGGCGACACTGCTGGAGGCACAAACCTTCCCCGGAAGCCGTCACTTTCTGCCAGCGGAAGCTGCCTGAAATGTTCCGGGGCACCCAACCTCAGAAACACCAGCCACTGAAATTCAGAATGAAAGCAAAGTTGATAAGGAGTGATCATAAGGAGAATCAAAATCTTGGGATAGAATTTCAGAAGTCCCCTGGCTTAAAAAATCACTGGCTCTGTTTTCAGCACCTGGGCTGCCCGGCACACATCATCCAAGATGTGCACCTGCAGGACAGCCACCGGCAGTTCCATGTCGTAGAGCGGGCCTGGCAGCTTCGGAGCTCAGCTTCGGTCCATGAAGGCTCAAAGGGGCCATGCAAAGTGCCATTCCGCTTCCCCAGAATTCTCAAGCTGTTTTTTTTTTAATGTGTTCCCTTTTCTTCCGTGACAGGACAATGGCGGACATGTGTGTGACTGAAAAGCTGCCCAGATTGAACTGAACTCGTGGAAAGAAACGAGCCTCCCAAGGCCACCTGGCAGGTGACATTCACTTCGGCTCTCCCCTGGGTCGAAGACAAGCCAAGTAGAGGAGTACCCGAGACCTGCCACCGCATCCACAAGGCTTTGGTTTCTTTCGATTCAGTGGATTCTGAAAAATCATGATGGTTCAAAAAAAGAGATGTCCTAAACGAGCCCATGGGACCGTGCCGGTGGCCGGATCGAGCTTGAAAGCCACTTGGCTTTGTCGCCTCACGTCGCCGTTGATGCGGGACCAGGTTAAGGTGTTTCCAGCATCATCCACACAGTCCACATCCAGAATCGTCGGAGGGACAGATTGCGGCAGCACCATTTTCTCTCCAGTGGCGATGTTTTCGGCCACCTGTACTTCAAGCACATGTCCCGAGCGGTTGTACCATCGGAAACCAGATCCTCAGCGAAAGGGTTTGAAGACCCTGATAAAAAGAGGGTTTGAAAGAATGGCAAATGTCAAGGGCAAAAAACAAAAGAGAAAGGAGTATATAAAGTACGTACATACCCGGGATCTTCTAAAAAACAGCCATCTATTCTTGAGCCATTCTTACCTTCTCCATGCCCCCGGACCCCCAACTTCAAAGTTGCATGACATCTCTCCACGTTGAGGCCTTCAAACAAAACAGCAATGTTGGTTTTACTTGTGGAGAAGTACATGCCAACATTGAAGTTGCGGGGTTCAAGGGCCAAGGGGGTTTGTTTGCCAGACTTGGACATGTGATGGGATTGCTGTGTTCAAAAACCCGGCATTATACTAAATATAGGCTCTATTTCTGCTCATGAACATACATGTTAAATACATATATATATGTGTGTGTGTATGTATATATATATATATTTATTCTTTTTCATTATATCAACTAACTACAGTATGTATGTGTGAGTGTGTGCGTGTCACCCGTGGTCGAGCCCAAGGGTCCGAGGTCCTCCAACAGCCTCACGGGTGCCAGCTCCGCACCCACGCGGGCCAGAAGGAAAGACCATTCCCACACAGCGCCCTTCCAGAGGCGGGACTGCGCTGCAAGAAAAAGACTGGAAGAGCTCGGGGTCCCTTGGAACAGTGCCAGCACTTGGCAGCTGCAAGAGGGCATGCCCGACAAAGTGGTCACCTTGGGAGTGGACTGTCATACATCCACGACCACCACGAGGAGTTTCTTGGAAAGACACGTCCTTTGGCTCACTTGGATTCTAACATTCTGAACCACAAAAATGACATCCGACCAAACGTGTCATGGTGTCATGGCCCATGGCCCCACGGCGCCCCTTTCGTCACAGGACATTCCTGGTAAGCCGCGCCTGTGAGCTCAGCTCTGCAGGGACCGGCTGGGCACTGGTGGTGGGCACCGAGGGATTCCAGTGGAGCACACCCGCCGTCGTCACCGAGAGCCAGGGACAGTGCGGGTCACAGTGAAGGCGAGCACCCGAGATGGCTGCCGGAAGCGTGGTGTGGGGGGCTATGATCTGTTGGGGGGGGCTTGCGTCCAAGCCCCAAAATTTGAAGTGGACAATTTGGTCTCCATAGGAGAAGGCCGAAACGGGCAAGGAAAAGTCGATGTTGCTGACGAGGCCCCGGACAGGATCTTGTACTGATACCGTGGAACATTTGATCACTGATTGATTTTGGAGGGTGACCACTCCCAAAACACGACCATCATTGGAGAGCTCAAGTCCAGAGGATGCCAATTCACATCCTGGAGCAACTTGTTGAACTCCAGCGGTGACAGGCTGTGGTGTCTGGTTGATGTTTTGCCCAACGTACAAGGACTGGAATTGTAAAGGCATGTACACCGGCGTTGGGTAGATGCTTCCTCCACCACAAGCGCAGCATGCCTCACTTGGCCTGATGCCATGAAAGGCCACATCCTGATCCTTATTGGGCCAGGTGCCTGAACAAATGCCAAGTGATTCCAGGTCTGCACAGCTTCGACCCTCCTTGTCGTGCCAGTTCGGAACATCGTCACAAACAAAACACTTCGAGGTATTCAGGATAGGTATGGTCTGCATCACATATCCTGCAGCACACTGCATGCAAGAGCCACCCTGTTCCAAGCGGCAACCACCACATTGCTCACCTGCAGCACAGCAAGTAAATGTGTAGCTCCCTTGAACGAAGCGTCCAATTGGAACCTGAGGACCCACGCACTTCGGCTTTGGGGACAAAGCCGTCCACGCTGGACGCCTTCGGCGTGGGTATTGCTCTTGCTGTAGGAGGCCGTGAGGCGCGCTAGCAGGCCGTGGGGCTGCACAATGGCGAAACGTCAGACCCGGCGTAGACCATAAATCCGATGGGATGAACCCATCAAATGAAGAAGACGGTCCAAACGCTCCGGGACGCTCCGGGAGTGTTGCTCCGTCCAAGTTCAAGGAGCTGAAGGAGTTCGCTTGAAGTGGTGAGGATTTCTGTAAACTGCAAACGGTGTCATCTGCCCTCACATCAGCCACCGTCCAGCCTAACCTCGTCACCAAAACGAGCTGAAGCAGCATTCTAAAACCACCGGGCATTCCTGATAAGCCTAAACCCTAAACAGCTGCAATCAAAGTTTAAACTGCAATCCAAACATGCTGGACTATCTGGACTTGAAATCAGCCAGCCGTTCAAAACATGTTGAATTATGTGGAACTGCTCTAGTGACTCTAGCTCATACTTTTGCCGGCTGTGCACCCTTCAACTTTCGACACCTGGACAAGATATAAACACCGCGGAACAGCTAGCCCTTGATCGAGGCTGAGGCCGTGCGGAACGTCAGCGAAGGGTGTGAAACAAATCGGGATGCAAAGCCTGTACAGGCTAGGCAATGAATCACAAAATCAACACTCTGCATCCACGTGGCGCAAGCGCCACCGAAGCTCGGCGGCCCTGTCAAGCCCCGCCGAAGCTCGGCGGCTCAAAACAAAAAAGGCCTTCCTTCTCAATCTGACGGACTTCTGCAACGTCTGCCTCGATCTGGTCCTTGTGGCCGGCGAGCACCAAAATACCCGCAAAGGTAAAGGTGTCAACCGTCAGTTCAACTTTGGATCCAATCGAAAGGGACGTGTGCAACTCCATGAAACAGGACAATTTTTGCATCCTCGCGTAGCCAGGCATGCCCGTCACAATCCCTGAGAAGTAGGAGACCAGGAAGATCACCTGACCTGAAGCCTTGAAGGCTCTTGGAACATCAGGCAAAGCGTCAAAACGTTCACCATCCAAGCAATCAAGAGTAGCTTCAGGATGTGAAGTCCCCGTCAGCAAACGTGCCAAATTCACATAACAACCATTAGCACCCATCATCCGAACGTTCATCTCAACAAGGCATGGTCCATCCTTTGTCATGATCACTTCTGCATGGGTTGCCCCATGGCAAAACTTCAAGGCATCCAACGCAGCACGAGTGTACTCAATCAACCCGACAGGACAATCATCCACCTCTATCGGCCGCATGGCATAATATACAAAGTCACAGCCGTTGGCGGGTTGTTTCTCATACATCCAGACCATGACGGTCTTGTGCACTCCGTTTCGAGACACGTGGTCCACAACATACTCCTGGCCCAACAAAAACTCTTGGCACAGAACTGCGGTATCTGAGGACGTGAGCCTTCGCTTGGTGCATCGCAGGTGTCTGAAGTGTTCCTCCACTTCTCCCATGGAGCGGCAAAGCTGCACCCCATCCGTACCACTGGACTGCACCGGTTTCACCACGATGGGGAGGCCAAGATGCGTCAGATCCTCCTTCACATCCTCCCATGCACAACCACGAACCTCTTGAACTGCCCGGCATCCGGCCATCAACAAAGCATTGCGCTGCACATGTTTGTTCCGACGGTCCCCTCCCGGAAACAAACCATTGCATTGAAGCCCCAAGTGCTCCGAGACGAGTTCTGCCAAGTTGACACCTGCCTCGCTGCCAGGGACGCAGCCTCTGATTTGAGCACCTGGATGAATGGTTTCAATGGACTGCTCAATGACCTTCACCGTCTCTTCTATGGACACCTCTTCCTCCACTGTGGCCCAGTACACCTTCTCCTTCGAGTGGTCAGCGCAGGACGATATCTTGCGAGTGGAACCAGCAGCCTCGTTGCTCCACAGTGCGATGACCAGGAAACCACGAGCCGCCGCCACTTTGGAAAAGCAAGCCCCGGTAGAAACGGGGTCCACCACAAGGACCACCGACGGCAAAAGTTCACCAATTTCAGCCATCATCGGTGAATTTAATTTGGCACGACTTGGACAGCTAAGAAATGCTGAAAAAGGTAGCACGTAGACTGATACCGGTAGAAACAATAAAAGAAAACAATTGAACAGCTTGTGTCGTTTAGCACCTCAAGCACCTTCTTGCCCCAGATTCTCTTGAAAACAGCCGTATAAGCCATGGACAGTAGAAAAATTTGGTAACACCGCCTGTCTTCCAAAATGGCCGCCCCTCGGAATTCACGCCACCTGCCATTGTGATTTGAAAGGTTTTGGCCTGAAAAACATGCAGTGGGGGCCCAGAATGAGCCACAAGAACAAATCAAAATGCGTTTCCAAACACAACGTTCACGCACTCTGAAAAGTTTCACTAGTGCACGCTTCATATCCACCTCAAACTTCATGGTGGCCAAGTTCTTCCGAGAAAAAACGATGCATGTTGTCTCGTTCTGTTCTTGGGTCTCGTTCTTTGATTACACTTGCCCAAAATGTTCAAGCGCGCCTTGGACGAGGTGGGCATGAGGAAATTACGCGAGCAGCATCAGGAAACGATTTACTAGCGGGGCGTCACCGTTCCCAACTTGAGGCCGAGGGTAGGTGACGAAAGCTAGCAGGGGTGCATCCGGACTGGTGGGACATCAAGCGGAGTGAGGCAAATGCTCATGAGGTAAAACGTTGTGAACATGTAAGACACACAAACAGCAATGACACAGCCAACCTTAGAATTGAAGTCCCCGATAATTAAGGAAGCGTGGCTGGACTTTGCCACATTGTTCGATGCATCCGATGTGTTCACGAACCTGTGAGCTTGTTGAATCTGTTGCACCGTATCCCAAAACCTCCACGGAGGAGTTGAACCAGTGTGGATGCCATAAGAGGTGCCCAAGAGGCCAAGAGGTGTCCCAAAGGCAAAACAAAGCTGCTTGCATGATTTGTTTGGTTTCTTCTATCGATGTCGATGTCATGAACATGTGAGCTTGTTGAATCTGTTGCACCGTATCCCGGAGGAGTTAAGCCAAAGTGGATGCCATAAGAGATGCCCGAGAGGTGTCAGGGGGGAGTTGAACCCGCGGGGGGGGGCCCCCCTACATATGAAGTTTTCACGTGATGCGGCGATCCCGAGGATTCCAGCGTGACTTGAAATCCCACCACGCGCGCACCATGCGAGTGGGAGAGTAAGTGAGTGTGAGTGCGAGCGCGAGTGTGAGTGAGAGTGGGAGTGGAGGACTGTGAGTGAGAGTGAGTGTGGATGAGAGTGAGTGTGAGTGAGAGTGAGTGAGAGTGAGTGAGAGTGAGTGCGAGCGCGAGTGTGAGCGAGAGTGAGTGTGAGTGTGAGAGCGAATGAATGTGAATCTGTGTGCATCAGTGAGTGTGAGCGTGACTGTGAATAGGACTGTGAATGGGACTGTAAATAGGACTGAGGGTGAGGGTGAGGGTGAGGGCGAGGGTGAGGGTGAGGGTGGGTGTGTGTGTGTGAGTGAGTGAGTGAGCGAGCGAGCGAGTGAGTGAGTGTGAGCGAGCGTGAGAGTGAGAGTGAAAGCGACGGTGAGAGTGAGAGTGAGAGTGAGAAGGACTGTGAGTGAGAGTGGGTGTGGATGAGGGTGAGTCTGAGTGAGTGTGAGTGAGAGTGAGCACAAAGCGCTGCGCCTGCCTCGAAATTTGCTCTTCAAGGTTCGCAAAGCACTATGCCTGCCACGAACTCTCCACATCGAGGCTCCCCAAGTGCTGTGCCTGCCAGGTTCACCAAGTGGTGTGCTGCAACAAAATCTGCGTGTCACGAAATCTGCCCTTCACGAAGTCTGCACGTCAAGGCTCACAAAGTCCACCAGAAGTGCTGCACCAAGTCAGAGCGCCTCGACGATCACCACCATTTCCAAAGTGCTGCACCTGCCACGAATTCTGCACTTCAAACTAAAACCGTTCCGACCCCGTGATCCTGTCACGAGAAGTCGGCTTTGGACCACCAAAACACGAGGTTTCCCCCGCACCTGCCACGAAAAGCGCCCACCATGTACGAAAATGCGCACGGCACCACAGCGAGAGCGCAGTCGCGACAAACACACGCTCCAGCCACCCAGATTTCGCGAGCCTGCGAAGTCGAAATGCAGTTCGGGGATTTCGAGAGGCATGAGCGCAGTGCAAATAGCAGCGAATTAGCCGTCCACGCCCGTGCGCTTCACAGATCTAAGAAACAACTGCTTAACTTAACACTTACCAAACGAAGCCCTAAATATGTCCACATTGTTTCGGGAACAAATGACGGATGGCCTGGGAGCGTGGAAGGAAACGGCAATATGTAGAAAGAGGTTTACTGCAACAACCGGTGTGTTCGATGTTGAAGACATGTTTGCTGAAGCAAGGACACCCCAAGAATAACCCAAGCGAAATCGAGAGCAACGCACACCCACCCACACCCTCCGTAATAGCAGCTCTAGGAAAGCACGGACAAACACAGCAGCAAAAATGCAAAAATTGCCACATCCGTCAAAACAGGTAAAGCAGTAACGCACTTTCCACTCAGGCCGCACAAAACCGCATGGCACAGCGACATCACACGTCATTTGGCCACACGGTATGCCAAGGACCAGTTCTTGTACAAGTTGCCAGTTTTGAAACCACACCTCCCAGAAACTACTTCCTTACATCTAACCTGCCACGTGGCCATCTTTACCAACCTCCACCTCCGCTTCGGCCGTTGCACACTCTGGCAACCATTTCCGGCGACTGCTGCACATTTCGTCAACCTCCACCGTCAATTGGTTGAACGCTTCGGCACGAAATTCGCATAACACCTCGCGATTGAGCACTCCACCCGCACAATCTCCGCAAAAAGTTCACCGTATTGCCCCCCCATCCTTGCACCTAATACCCATTAGATTTTGCACATCTGGAAACTGTCCAGTAAAAAACAGCCAACAGCCCGTGCACAGCTGGAGACTGGCCAGTATAAAAGCAGTCGTGACCTGCTGGGGCAAAAACGCGCGTGGAAAAATTACTTTAAAGTGGTCATTTTGTAAAGACGTGAGGTATGGCTGGAGGAGAAAGATCAGATCATGTAATTTTGTAAAACGTGTGTTTTTGGAGCAAACTCATATTGTACGAGTCTATGGTGCCCATCCTTCTGCCTCATTGTTGGCTGCACAAAAATATGTGGTGGACGCACCAAAGCATAGTCCATTTTGCAATAAACTGCCCTTTTGTAAGCACTAATAGTTGTGTGCTATGAATTTGCAAATTGATCTGCCAGAACTTGCGCACATTACGAAAGCTGGCAGCTGCTACCATGTGGAACGCGATTGCCAATATGTTCAAAATGGTTCCCGGGTTTCCAAATGATGTTTGCACTGCCGGGTCGAATGCCTTCAAAAATGCTTTGACATTCTGACGGCCTTTGACAGAAAGGCACAGTCTCATAGAGGCTAAGCCTTCCAAAGGCCAGTGGCTTGGCTTACGCTGCTACAGAAAAAGGAACTGCAGCTGCACCCTTCCAAAATGAGTTCTGGTTCCTGACAAAACGAGTGACATGTGGGGGCCCCCCAAACTGATCAAGCCTGATGCACCGACATTGGAAAACCTTCATTTTTGACAAAATAATGAAAATGAAGGGCGCAGCATTCTCAATGTTTGACTCCACTTTTTCTATGATGGGGGCTAGTGGCCAACATGTTTTTGTTGGCCCTGTCCTTTTGTATCCTTGACATTTGGACGCACCCATGTATTTTGTAAGGGGTGTTGCTCCCAGTGTTATGGTTACATATCCCAACAAATGGCGCACCAACACATGCACTCAAAAATGCAACAACCCATCGTCATGCGCCCAGACCAGACAATCATCAAGGGGACGTCACGAATGTAAACCGGCCACCGGGCTTCAAAGATAGATCTTACAGTTTCACTTTGACGCGTCCCTTCAGGGAAGAGTAAACATGTTTCAGGATGTTGTCGCAAAGCCGCGTTATTCGCGGGAACGTTGTATTTTTTTGCCGCAGTTGCACTTCCAGCACACGAAGGCAACTGTGTAGGCCTCAACTGTATTGCTGCAAATGTGTTGGCGCATTCGTAGCAAACCGAACGTTCCCCTGCCTCCTCGCCTCAGCTAAAGCTAGGGCTGTTCCCGGTCACCTTTGCTCCTCTCCGTGCCACCCTGGTGTCCGGATGGTGTGCCCCCCCCTCGCCGATGCAGCCCTTCAGCCCTTCGCTGGGAACAACCGTTGGTCAGAGTCATCACCAACAAAGAAGAACAGGAAACACACCCAGAGCAAACTGCCAAGAAACAAGAACATACATGTTCCCACCCAAAAACCCAAAGGAAGGCAACAAAGCGAAACCCAAACATAACAGAGGATCATCCACATGCCACACAACAAAGGAGAGGTCATACCAATCTCGCACAGCAACCGGCTCTACTGCGCAGGAGAACAAGGATATTCAATGCTGTTTGACCCCCTGGTTGACTGCCCCGCTTGCGCTTCGTGGAGTCGCTGGCGTGCGATTCTCAGTGTGCAAAAAATGGAACTAACTCAGAGGGACAGGACACCCTAGTTCCTTTAAATTCTAAGGGAGTTGGGCATGTGGCAAAAATTTTTTAATTTGGAAGGTAGCTCACATAACCCAGGTGTTCCCTCCAAATCTGTAAATTACAATTTTTGACGTTCGCAAATCTCACCTTTTGCCTTCGTACCCCACCCCTTCCAATATGCCTTGTCACCCCGGGCGGGCACAGAGGCTCTCATCCACGCACCTGGAGAGAGCGCCCCTATTTCCCATGGTTTTCTTACAACATGGTACGTGTACGACCCCTTGATTTCTGCTGCTGCTGCGGCACGACGCGGCCACCACCAAGAGGCATACGTCATTGCACACTTTTGGTCACAGAACGACGCTGCAAATGTTCGGAGTGCAAAATTTTGAGCCACATGGCTGCCAACTCTTGCTTCGGAATGTTTGCTCTGGTGAGTTGCTGGTACCAGGTCATCAGACGTGGCCTTGACGCGATTTGCTTTCACAGGCAAGTGCCCAACTCACGGTGCCAGTCCAGGAAGTAACAACATGCGCCGG